AAGGAAGAAAGAAAGAAAAAGCAAGAAAGCAAGAAAGCAGCATGAGGGGTTCTGTTTTTGCTGACATTAAATATTGAGAACATAAAATACACATAAGATATAAGAAAAAATTATACAGGAAACATCTATCATTCAATTCATCAGAAAAGATCATTAGAATCATCATATCCCATCTCATTTCTATCTCCTCTCCCCCTTTAGAAATAATTACCACCCCAAATTTTGAGTTTGTCATTTCCTTGCTCATCTTATCATACATTTTTGTATCAATAAATAATATATTATTTGGTTTTATATGCTTTTAAACTTTATTTGTGCTCTGTATTTTTTTTTAGCACTTTGATTTTTCCTACTCAATCTTGTATCCTGGAGATTAAATCATGTTATCATACATGGAATTTATGCATTTTTTCACTGAGGAAGAGTATTCCATTGTAAGACTTCACCACAATTTATATGACCATTCTGTTGTTAACAGACATTTTGGCTTGTTCCTAGGCTTTTCCTACTACAAACAGTGCTATTCTGAAAATTCTTGTACATGTCCCTGGTACACATAGCAATAATTTTCTTGAATGGCTATCTGGAAGTTAAATTGCTGGACTACATAGCATGTACATCTTCGATTTCACTACATAAAACCAAAATGTTTTCCAAAGCAGTTATATTAATTTGCCTGATCACAAGCCAATCACTCTACATTTTTGCCAATATCTCATGTTGCTAGTCTTTAATATTTTTGCTAATTTGACATGAATTGTGGTAGATGGTCACCAGTTCCCTTCCTATTTGTACTCAAATGTCACCCCTCACAACTACAGGTGAAGTTTATTTACGTTCTCCTTGAAACTAGGCTGGAAATCTGGTGTGTCTTGCTTTATGACACAGTATATGGTCAGTTATCATAAGTGTACTTTGTATACCGTCTGCTTGAAAAGAGTATGTATCCAACAACTGTTGGGTGCAATATTCTATAATGTACATGATATTAGATAACACTACAATTTGGGTAGTTTAAGTCTTCCATTTTTTTATTTTTTTAAATCTGCCTCATCTGTTTATTACTTAGAGGGTGGGTTAAAAACATCCACTATATTGTGAAATAATCAATTTCTCCTTGTAGTTCTGCCAATTTTTTTAGCTCTAAAAATGGGTTTTTTTGCTTTAAAGTCTATGACAGCTTTCTTATGGTTAGTATTTGAATAGAGTGTCTTTTTCACTTTCAATGTATCTTTAATCTTATGTTATCAGTGTCTCTCGTATATCCACGTTCTTTTATCCTGTCTGACAAAATTTAGTGCAGCATTTATTATTATTATTATTATTATTATTATTATATATGTATATATGTGAGTTAATCTAACTATTTTATCTTGTACTTTCTGTATGTGCTACCATTTGTTTCTTCTCTTTTTTCCTTGCCTTATTTTGAATGATATTTTTTCTCATTCTGTTTTTTTCTTCTACTCATTAAGAAGTTTACTTTTATTTATATTTATTGTATTTGTTTTATTTTATTTATTTCCAATCTTTAGGCTACTACTCTACAAATTACAACTTTTACATTTTTAACTTATCTAAGTCTAAAGTCAATCTATATGTTTATCTTCTTTCTGAATAATATAAAGATCTTGAGCCACTTTAAGTCAGTCTCTACCCTCTTGACATACATTACTGTTGTCATGTATCTTAGTTATTTCCTGTTTTGTTTTTAACTCATTATTGATTTTCTTCGTTCATGTTTGCTTAAATTTACCCACAGATTTATCATTATCTTTGCTTGTTATTCATTCTTGCAACTCAGATATTTGGTTAAGAATCACCCTTTCCTTGAAATGTCTCTTAAATTTTCCTTTAGTGGGGTGGCAAACTCAATTTTTCTCTAAAAAAATCTCAATTTTATTCTTTTTTCTCAAATAGTATTGCTGAGTATTAAAAGTAACTTTTTAGATTAAGAGATATTTTCTCTCAGCACATTGAGGATATCATTCCACTATCTCTGGCTACCAGAAGCTATTGAGAAGTCAAGCTATAACCCCAAATTCATTATTTAAAGGTAATGGGACGTTTTTCCATTAGTTCCTTTTTTTTAAACAGCTATACTAAATTGTACTTCACATACCATATAATTCACCTGTTTTAAGCACGCAGTTGATGGGTTTTAGTATGTTGAAGGAATTGTGCAATCATCATCATAATCTAATTTTAGAAAACTTTCATCATCTTAAAAAGAAACTTTATAACCATTAGAAGTTACTCTCCTTTCTCCACCTCCCATCCCCAGTCCTAGGTAACCAATACTCTACTTTCTTTCTTGGAGAATTGCCTATTCCGGACATTTTATATAAATGGAATCACATGAGGTATCTTCAAAAAATTTATAGAAAATGTATATTATAAAAAACTATGCATAAATTGTGCAAAAATTTTTTTGTGCCAAAATAAACTTGGAAGAACAAACATCAAATTTATGGCATTTCTTTGAAGACTTGTAACAAGAAATGTAACATGGTTTTACCAGTACAATTCTGAAGACAATGCACAATTAAAGCCATGGTTATCAAGAGATGGAAGTGGCCCATTCAAAGCAAGAGTGGACCAGTCAAGAGCAGAGGTCACGGCAATGCCTTGAGTGATGCTCAAGGCACTTTGCTTGTTGACTTCCTGGAGGGCCAAAGAACAATCACATCNTTGCCCCAGAAGACCCTTTTGTTATGCACGAGGTCGGCGTGGTTGCATTTCAGAACGGAGAATGGAAAACAGCAGAAAAATGGTTTCTTGATGCTTTGGAAAAAATTAAAGCAATTGGGAATGAGGTAACAGTTGACAAATGGGAACCTTTGTTGAACAACTTAGGGCATGTCTGCAGAAAACTTAAAAAGTATGCAGAGGCATTGGATTACCACCGCCAGGCGCTGGTGTTGATTCCGCAAAATGCATCTACCTATTCTGCCATAGGATATATCCATAGTCTGATGGGCAACTTCGAAAATGCTGTGGACTATTTCCACACAGCCCTTGGTCTTAGGCGAGATGACACATTTTCTGTTACAATGCTTGGCCATTGCATCGAAATGTACATTGGTGATTCTGAAGCTTATATCTTGAGTGATGCTCAAGGCACTTTGCTTGTTGACTTCCTGGAGGGCCAAAGAACAATCACATCGGCTTGTTATGATAACGGTTGGAGAAAGTTAGACAAAGCTTTAATAGAGAAATGCCCACGAAAGCTTCACCAGAGAGTCCCCTTCACCAAGACAATGCTATTGCTCATTCCCTTCATCAAACATGGGCAATTTTGTGAGAGTTTTGATGAGAAATCACTAGGTATCCATCTTACAGTGCTGATTTGGCTCCTTCTGACATCTATTTGTTTCCTAATCTCAAAAAAATCTTTAAGGGCATCCATTTTTCTTCAGTTAATAATGTAAAAAAGACTGCATTGACATGGTTAAATTCCCAAGACCCTCTGTTGTTTAAGGATGGACTAAACGGCTGGTATAATCACTTACAAAAGTGTCTTGTACTTGAAAGAGCTATGTTGAGAAACAAAGTTTATATTTGTTATTTTTATTTTTTAATTCCATTTTTCCATGAACTTTTTGAAGTCCCTTTGTCCACTACGTTTACTTTGTGACTGGCTTTCTTCACATGGCACACTATTTTCAAGGTTTATCCATGTTGTAGCATGTATTAGTACTTCATTCCTTTTTACTGCCAAATAATATTCCATTGAGTAAAGACCCTATATCTTGTCTATCCATTTAACAATTGATAGACAGTTAGATTGTTTCCAGGCTTTGGCTATTATGAATAGTACTGCTAAAAATATAAATATATATAAATATATATGTATACACACACACACATATATGTACATATACACATATACACACACACACATATATGTACATATACACATATACACACACACACACCCCTTACCTAGGAGTGAAATCACTGGGCCATATGGCAAATGTATGTTTAGCATTTTGAGAAACTTTTTTTTTTTTTCCTTTTTGTCTTTTTTCGTGACCGGCAACGGATCACAACCCTCAGTGTCGCGCCCGCACCAGAGCGGGACCGGCCACGGGATCGCAACCCTCTTCTGCCCTCCCGCACCTCGCTCAGCCAGTGAGCGGCCAGTCTGTATGTGGGATCCGAACCCTCGGTGGGAT